GTAGTAAGGTTGCTTTGTAAGTTAAAAGACTAATTTGTGAAAGGGTGTAGGGCTGAAAGATGTATGTCTTGTAGGAGCAAGATAAGGGACCTCCTTCTGTTTAGCTTGGTCTGTTAATTACTCACTTTTGTGTCCTTAAGTCATTCCACTTTTAGCCACCTAGATATGACTATGCTGTTCACATTATCAAAGGATGCTAATACATACAGGAAACATATTGTACTGATGGCTTGTCCTGTTTTAAGCTGCATTTGAATTTCATGTCTAAGCGTTCTGCCCTCTCCAGAAAACACAGACTGGGCTTGTTATGGTCCCCTGAATGTTGTAATGAGGAGCTATGTTGCAATAGGTTTTTGTACATCTGCTTTGAATGAGGCAACTCTAAAGAAACTTTTTCGAAACCATCAGTTTTGAGAAAATGTTGCCTCCCTTCAGCTTTGCAATATTAGGAGGATTGGCTTTCTGGATTAGTCTATCACATTCAGCATCTAACCTTGCATCTCTTCTCAGGATTGCTTCTAAACTGTGAGTATTCGCATTGTTCTCCGGTAGATGTAGTAACAGATCACATATTGAGGAAGACGTTGAAAATCTCCAATTTTCAGATTAAAAAGTTGTGGAAGAATTGTGTAAAATCACTTGGGTGCATTTAAGCTTTTAGCTGCTGCAGCTAAATGCTTAAGCTTTAAACTTTTAGCATCACTTTATTAGTGCTAATTAGGCAGCAACAAGACTCAGTTCCATGACTTTTTTTTTTTACCTCCTTGTTCACTCTCACTTGAAGCTTATGTTTAGTAAAACTTTAGATTTAAATTGCCGTGCCTGATGACAGTTAATTTTTGTAGTGCATTTTAGCAGCTTGGATCAGTACTTCCTTAATTGTGGACTAGTGTGACCACAAACGCCTCTAGTGCACCTGCAGCCCCTGGCATGGCAGTGGTAGTTCACTGGCACCATGCAGCTTCTTTACAGGTTAAAGTTCCCTAGTCCAAAATCCCGAATCCAAAAATGAAAATATCCGAGAATTGCTCCCACACAAAAAGAGCTAGGAGGGAAAGCTGTTGGTGGCCTGCACCTTCCCTTGGCAACCCTTTGACAGGCACACCAACACTGGGACAACATGCAGCTTCTTTACAGGTTAAAGTTCCCTAGTCTTATAGTTATACTAATTATTTTTCCTGCATCTTACTTGAGATTTGAATTAATCTACTTGGATATATGAATTAATGTGCTTTTAGTATGTTTTGCAATGGGAATCTTTACCTCTTGGCCATGCTTGCTGTGAAAGCTGACAGTGAAATGTGATGGTTGCAATCGTGTTCCTCAGGCTGCTCGTTATTCCTTACGGCTTGTTTCACTTTAAGAATACCTTTTTTCATCCTTTATATGAGCTTTTTAGCTCATATTGTAGCAGCTCGTGTTAAAACTGAAAGGTCATAAGAGTTCAATTCACATGACTGATGTCTCACACTGTTATGTTATATATTCCAGTGAACCAGCAGGAAGCACACAGTCTAGAATTTAACTGAGTATAAAAGCTTTAAACATGTTTACCATGGTTCCTCTCCAAAAAGTACCCTGGCTTCTTTGGTTCTGTGAATGCATATGTTGGCATAAATAACTCCAGTAACCTTTTGATACTTTGTGTGCTTTGCAGTGGAGAATAACAGTCTGGTGATGCATTTCACCTTCAGTAAAGATTTGATCTTACAGATTTCCAGCACTACAGAACAATCAAGACTTTGGTTCAAATTTTTGCAAATACTTCATAGAAATTGGTTTTAACTGTTGTTTTCCTAGAAATTAATGTCTCTTAGGTATTAAAACTGTGAACTGCCTTGAAACTAACTTCTGTTTTAGGTTTTCTATCTTAGTTTCAGTTTGAGATTTTTTTGTATAATTCTTTTTAACTAAAAGAGTTACTAGTGTCTGCATGCAAGTTTTTATTAAGGTAGTTTGCTTTAGAACAAACTTATTAGAGAATAAGCTCTTCAGAAAGCAAACTCTTCTGTGAGCAGCAGAGCTGATGAAGCCTACTTTCTGCCAGATTTACGCTCTTTATCTTTCTCCTTCCCTCTGCAGTGCCTCCCCTGTCTTCAACCTCTTTTGCTGGCCATGCAGCAGCATATGCAATGGCTGGGCTTGGAGCTGTGTACTGATTGGCTGCCACCTTTTGGAGTGGTTAAGATGTGAGTCTTAATACCTACCTTTTCTATATAGCAGATATTGATTTGGATGTCTTCTACCAGCAGCTGATTGTTTTGGAGTGGGATTGTGTTGAGACTTGAAGAAATTTGGTCTTGAGTCTGCTTTCAAATTTGATTGAAGCTAGCCAGTAGATTTAAAAGTAGCCGGCTGGGGGAGTAATCAAGAATCTCTGCTGGAAGTAGTTTAGTGAATTCTTGATAAACTATTCTTGGGTAGAGGAATTGTAAAAGAGCTTCCGTTGCACAATACTTTGTCTTTCCACTTTTTTATCTCCACTAGTTTTTCTATGTATTTTCACTTGTACCTTAGCTTTCTATCCTTTTTTGACTCTGTGAGGCCTCCAATCTGATGTATGAGTGCGCATGCTCCAATGTAGAGACCGTAGTGCTGAACCACTGAACTGCAGCCACAACCTGAAAGCTTCAACATGAGCACCGCACTGGGAAATGCCATAAGGACAGAAACTTTTAGAAGCTGCTTTTGCCTGAAGGTTGGAGTAGATACCTCCAGAAGTCACTGCCAACCTCAGGTATCTTGTGACCATGTGTTCCTATTTGTAATTGGAGCAGCTTGTTTACAATGGGACAAAGGGTGAGCAGGTAGATCCAAATTCCAGCAAACTCCCAGCTTCCATCCATCTCCATATCACTTATTCAGACTGACTAGTGCACCTTCCTCTTAATGACTTTTGTGGGGTAGGATTTTTTTATTTTCTTTTTTCTTATTTTAAGGCCTTTGCAGAGAAATGGTCAAGGTTGATCTTTTGTGGTATTTTTTTGTTGGAGGTGCAAGGTGCTGATTTATGAAGCTATTATTTGTTTTGAAGGTATCTGAATAGTCTGTCAGTCTAACTCTGAAACAAGTGGCCAGCAAGTATCATTAGAGGTTCAATACAGAGATATCACATGAAGATAAAAGCATGGTAGAACGTGTGCTAGAATGAGAATTCTTGCTCCATCACTTTCAGTGTTATGGCTACTGACACTATAGTTTTCTGAGTTTGTGGCCTTGAAACAGGAAGTCTTAATACATTTTAGAGTAAATGTTGAGGACTTTGGTATATCTGGTTTGAAAAGATCCTTGCCATCTTTTCTTTAAGATGTTTTGTTTTCACCTTCGAGAATTTCAGCCATATAGAAACCTGACTTTAAAAAAAAAAAAGGGGGAAAAAAAAGGCTACTACCAAACCCTGAATATTTACCCTGCCAATATCTGCCATTAGTCTGTTTCAACATTTTAAGTCTTATCAAGAAGCTATATATAATTATATTCCTGAAATTATTAATGTAATTTATTTCTGTATAATATTATCCTCAATTATTAGATGGGAGCATAGCAATGTAAATAAAATCAGTAATGTAGTATAGGAACACTGATATTCTAGGCTGTAAACAGATTGGCAAAATGTACGTTCTTGTCAGAAATTAGTAAAAGTCAACCTACTTTTTGGTATGTTTATAACCAAATATAAATTTATCTTTCTCCTTCTGAAAACATAGAATGTGGAGGATAGAGGCTTGATGTGATTATTGTCCAGTTAGCAGTAGACCTTCATGTCTGAAAGAGATTAGCTTTGTTGCTGAAGCCTTGCAGTTGGACAAAAGTTTTGTTTAATCCCTTAGAAGCGGTGACAAGGGACTAATTCAAATGAACTGTAATTTCAAGGCCCTAGAAAGTTGGTAATGGCATTTCTTTGGCTTTTGGGGAGAGAAATCTCCCTATAAATGGCTTTTTCATTTGAGTTGTTCTATTCTCTAGACAACTTTGTGGTGTCCTAACAAAAGCCAATCAACATCCTCTCTATGTTGTTTATAATACTTTGGATTGAATACAGTATGAAAAAAGGGTCCTTGCTCCTAAGTTAGCTATTTTTGGGTGTCCATGTCCCATTCCTTGTCTATACTTCGTTCCAACAGTGTTTTTAATTTTTTCCGCTTTCCACTGAGCAGGTTAGCTGAAAGATAACCTTTTACATAAACAGTTATAGACATGAACAGAAGCTTGATTAAAGTATAACTGCATGTAGAATGTGAAAGTATCTGACGCTTTTAAAATTTGGTATGAATTTCAATTCTTCTTTTATGTTCAGTGGTCTGTATCTATTAAGGATAAATTTTATGGAGACAAACAGTCTGATTGGCACTGATTTAACTTCTTACCTGCATTATTTCAAGGGTTGTATGAGCTAGACCTTAAATGAAGATGTCGATTGGAACTATAATTTTTATACTGCCATTTTCATGTGAGAAATATTTTTAGTCTTTTTTCAGGCTGTGTGTGAAAAATGAAGTTTAAAAATGTTGAATGGATATTTTATTTGCGTGGCTGCCAGCACGCTGGCAGATTTTCTCCCCTATTAAAGAACTCAGTAACTAACATGTTCAGAAACGCCTCTAGAACCTCTGGAATCCTGCAACATAAAGAATATTCCACCTTAACTAATTTAGTTGAATATGAATATAGTTTATGGGGGTAGAGGAAATGTAGCCAGGACACTGACATAAATGAAGTGGGAGTGCTATGCAGAGTAGCTGATCCCCAGTTATTTTGCAAGACATGTGACTGAGTATGCGCAACGGAAGCATCCTCTTGAAGATACTGAACAAAATATTACAGTAGGCAGAAAAGCACAGAAATGTTTTCTGAAAACAAACTGGAGAGAGAACATTGAAGAGCTCTTGATCGTATGTGCTGTGAAAGTGTTTCCCATTCTGTAATTCAGTAAGCTATCTTTGAGATATTATAATCATGCCTTTTGTTTATCATGTAACAGATGATCTTTTCTTTTTCAGATCGAATTCAGTTACCGAGGAATATGATTGAAAACAGTATGTTTGAAGAAGAGCCTGATGTGGTTGACTTGGCAAAAGAACCTTGCTTACATCCCCTGGAGCCTGATGAAGTGGAATATGAACCAAGGAGCTCCCGACTCTTGATGCGTGGCCTTGGAGAGCACGAAATGGATGATGATGAAGAGGATTATGAGTCATCAGCAAAATTACTGGGGATGTCTTTCATGAACAGAAGCTCAGGTCTCCGGAATAACATGTCTGATTATAGACAAAATCCAAATGGATCATGTTCAGTGCCCTCTACGAGGACCATGGTGGTTTGCACAGTTGTTCTTGTGATTGCAGTTTCATTAATAATGGCGATTTATCTTCTTCCCAAATGTACCTTTACCAAAGAAGGCTGCCACAAAAAAAATCATACAATGGAGCTAATATACCCTTTGGCAACTAACGGAAAACTATTTCCATGGGCAAAAATTAGACTTCCTCCTGATGTTGTACCACTGCATTATGATCTTGTCTTGCAGCCGAACCTAACTACCCTGAAATTTGCAGGCTCTGTAAAGATACTGGTTAACATTGTCCAGGTAACTTGGAAGATTGTACTTCACAGTTCAGGACTTAATATCACCAAGGCAACCATTACTTCAGCAGGAGGGCATCAAGCAAAGCCAGTTGAATTCCTGGAATATCCATTGCATGACCAGATTGCAGTCATGGCTCCTGAGGCTCTCCTTGTAGGACAGAATTATACTGTCAACATAGAATATTCATCTAATTTATCAGATACCTATTATGGCTTTTACAGAATTTCTTACAAGGATGAGAATTCTAAGCAAAGGTATGCTGACAAATGCAGCTTCTCTCTTCTGTCACTTCTGGATTGTGCTTTGATAATAGAAATATCAAGGGTTGCCTTTCTATTGGATGTTGCATACAACTGATTCCTGTTGAGCAAAATTGATCTTTAATCTCCTGATTAATCTACCCGAAAAGTGTCTTTCATGGATGAGTTCATTAAGTCAGGGCAGCCTCTACATCAGTTACATGTAGTGCAGTATAGTGGTTGTAGGTAGCTATAGTGTGGCTTTTTGATTATTTAATTTTTAGTTTCTCTCTTTGGAAGTTGTTCCCATATATTTCAAGTCACTGAGTCTCAGCGCAGAGACTGTGGGAACAAAGTCCCACCATCATAGGAGAAGATCAGATTTGAGACCATCTGGGGAAACTGAACATACAAAAGTTGATGGGACCCAATGAGATGCATCCCACAGACCTGAAGGAACTGGCAGATGCAGTTGCTGAGCTGAAAAGTCATGGCAGTCAGGCAAAGCCCCTGATGACTAGAGAAAAGGGAAACATCACACTCATATTTAAAAAGGGTAAATCAGTGCTTTTTACCAAGAAGATTAATGAAATTGCCACCCACCACCACCCACTTCAAATGGGCCTTACACTGGTCATGTACTTAAAAGTGTTCATGCCTTTGTTGGCACGTAATTGTCCATGCAAGTTTTCTAGAAACGGAGTGGTGCAAAAACCAAAGGACAGAAAAAGCAGTATGGGTTAGTCCAGGACCAGCTGACAGGAGAGGAGTTTTGAAGGACCCACAAAACAACAACTAAATAGAGTAAAAACATAAAACACTTACCAGCTTGTGCTAAGAAGTGCTAAGATCTAAGGCTTAAAAAAAAAGTTAAATGGGATGTAAAGGGAAAAGCAAGAAAAATCGATGTTAACAGTGTTACAAATCTTTGCAACAACGGAGAGTTTGTATGGAAATTCCCAGAATATTAATAAGTAGATTTTATTTCCTGAAAGAGGAAAGCAGAACTTACAATTAGCACCAGCAAGCCAACATTTTACAAATTGACAATAGAGACTTGAAATTATTCTCTGGGAAGAGATTGCATTGGCATTGTATTCACTTTCAGTTACTTAAAATAACACTTTTCATTGAGTTGTTACAAACTTTTTCAGCGAGACTCTTTGAAGAGTAATACAGAAGTGTGGCAAACTTGGTCATAATTTTTCTCTCTGCGGTGAGATATGATGACTATACACTGCTAAGGTTTGAATTATTTAAGTCCCTCAATGATAGCTCATCTTTAAAAAACAAAACAAAAACAAGATACCTAGTGTAAAGATGACTTCATAGACTCTTAGAAAGCTGCATAAGATAAGAAAGATGTATTTCTAGTCTATTCTCTAAACAAAAACCCAGAATATTTTATTTGAGATTCAGCAGGCCTCTCTAAGCTATAACAACAGACATTTAAACTAAAACTTGTTTCTTTTTCTAAAGTTTACTCACAGGTTGCCTTTAAAACTCCCTTTATGTAGCTCCTAGTTGGTCTATGACACAGTGCTGAAGTGTACAAGAAAATAAGTTAGCTGCAACAATTGTTTTCAAATATATTCAAAACCTGGCGCATTCAGATAAACTGTGGAACATTAAGTGGGTTGTTGAATTGGCCAACAACAGACCTCTCTGCTGTTTACTCCCATGTGTTCCTGTTGGCCCTCATTTGGGGTAGTCTTAAAGGACTTTCTTTAGAAGATCAAGAATTTTAAGAAATAAATTTAGGTTAAAGGATTACTGATCTGTTTCAGTTTGCCTGCATCTCTGATGAAGGTGAGTGTGTTTTACTGAGGTGCAGACATAGGTGGCTGTTCAGATCCTCCACGTAAAGTGCTGTTGTTAAGCCTCTTATGAAAGGGCTGTTCCTGAGCATATACTAAAACATTATAGTGTATGCGTGGTCATTAGAGAGAGCCTGTTGCCATTTGGGAAACTGAAGCTGATAGGCTTCAGAATTCTGTCATTATAGCAAAAATGCCACAAGTTGTCTCTCTGTTATGGAATGTGTTGGATAATTAAAGAATCACAAAGGATGTAGATTGCATCAGAAGAACCTAACCACAAGATGAAATGAAATAGAGCTAAGTAACTTATCACAAACGTTAAAGACATGCATTAACAAGAAGTAAGTGGGAGTAAGAATACTGTAAGTGTAGAAGGCAAAAATCACTTGAATGATCACCTGCTTTTGAATTTCCATGGTTTTTCCTATTCTGGGGTAGCTGAAGCTTTGTTTTCTCCTTGTATTTACTGTAGTAGAAAGAGAATGTGTAAGTGTTCACAGAGGAAAAAGACTATCTGTCAGTAAGTTCTTGAGTTTTTGTCCTCCTTCAGTCCAGTGCTACCTGCTTATGTTCAGGAACAGGATGTAGCACATGCTTTAACTTCAGTTTATCCTTTTCAGATAACTCTTTGCTAGTACCATAATTTCCATTGCCCTGCCTGCCTCTTCTCTTTCCAGGGGCTGTGGCTCTGCATGCTTGATGTCAGTGGTTTTACAAATGCAGGCTACTTTGACAAACTCTGTTGTTGCATTTTCTGTATAAAATTCAAGCTCTCGCGCTGCTTTTGCAAACTTCTTGTTGAGCTCCCAGGGTTGTCTTGCAGGAGCAGAATACAAGTCAGAAATACCCTCTAAGAAAAGCCGTCATTTCTGCAGCTAGTTAATACCAAAGTAATGGAGAAGGAAAGTAGACTTCGGAGAAGTTCTCTTGTGATGTGACTGGGTGTTGGATTGGAGACAAGACAGTACACGAACTTGCATAGAAAATCCATCTACTAGCCAGCAAAGGGAGCAGGCATACAGTTAGATGAACTGTGGGAACACCTGCAGGAGGAGGCATGACAATGAGATGAAAAAGCTTCCTTGTAGTCCCAACTGCTGCTGAGGTTGCAAAACTTTCATTCAGTGGGCATGCTGACTAATTTAATTTTTCAGTCTCCTTTTTGTTCCCTCTTACTGGAAACTCACTGGCTTATATTTTGGTGATTGTTCTGTAATTGTGTTCTTCCAGGTATATTCTTCTCTGTTAAGAAAGCAAAGAACAGCCAAGCAGCTTAGTCCTCAAATAGATATATTTTTTGGGTTTTGAAAAAAAACTTTTGTTAATGAAACATTTATTCTGACTGGACCAACCCTGTCATCTACCATTCAGAAAACCACTCCCATAACAAGCTGTTACAAGGTTTGAGGGGAAAATGACTGTTGTATCATAATTAAAGTCGCTTTTATCCTTTTCATGATTCTTAATATGCTCTTCTCTACTCTTCCCGTTAGGTGGTTTGCAGCAACTCAGTTTGAACCTGTGGCAGCAAGGTCTGCTTTTCCATGCTTTGATGAACCAGCATTTAAAGCTACTTTTTTAATCAAGATCAAAAGAGATGAGAAACTTTCCACTCTGTCCAATATGCCAAAGGTACCTGCTTTTGTAGAGGAATTTTGGTAGAGCTGCTGCCTAGGTAATCTGTTTAAGTGCTTTGCGTTGTGTTTTTGTTGCATTAACCTCCAGGAGATTGACTTGAGTGGATAAGCTATAAACTGTATGAGTTTATAATAAAACAACTGTCTCTTCCTCAAAGACTTGAATTAAGTAACTTCGTAGAGAAAACAAATGTCCAATGCGCTGCACAGTGTAGGGTGTTATTGTACAGACAGTTGAATGGCTATGGGAAAGATTCTGGTTGAATTTAAATAAATCATTATTTTGCAGGAGTTTTGTTGGCTACATCAGTCTCAACAGCCCTTAAGATTCGCTTTTGAGTTTTCTGTGTTTGCTGATACTGCGCATGTGCAGAATACTGGAGTGTCTTTATCAATAGTTTGTATAACTAGCAACAGTCTCTGTGAAAGGTATGCCTCATGTTGAAGGATGTGCTTTTGAGCCTGGATGAGGGAAGTACAGTGTGAATACAGAGTCGACCTCAGAATATGAATGAGGGATCTGAAATTCCTTCAGCTAGATCTTTCCAGGCAAAATCTTGTAAAAGCATATCTGAATTTTATGGTGATGCTTTATGCCATTGAGTCTTTGCAGAAACATTTCTAGAAGCCTAATTCATTTAGACAGACCAGCAAGACTAACTTGTTACCTAGTCTGTGTCTGAATTAGGTCCTCTAATTTACTACCCAACAGAAACTCATTAGTATTTACAGTGATCTAATCAGTAATGGGAAAAATTACACTCTTGGTGTTGGTGGGACACACAGGCACATGGTGCAGGTTGGGTTCAGAAGGTTGTCAGAAGCTCAGGTGCTGATGTAGCTACTCTGTTTTTGAAAATCAAGCTAATAACTGCAACATTGTGAAATAGCTTTTTCACAATGCATGAATGTTTAAGTTCCTGGGTTTGTGGTGATTCTCAACCGTTACTTTAGCAGGATTGCAGCACTTTAGTTTGTGTCCAGGCCTAAGAGCACTTTATTTGCGGCTCTTTTCTTCACTGAAGGAAGAAACAAACTCTGCTGGGCAACTCTCTTGTTTTATGTAAACAGGAAAGGGTGCTCTCTCACTTTCCTCTGCTAGGAGTTGGACAGGTGGCTAAGGCAACTTTCAACAACTTCCATAGTTCTTCATATACAAAAAGTAGACTATGATTTCCCATTGCTGGCCCCCATGTTGAGCACCAAGAAAATCTGTCACCGTTTAAGGCTGGGCCAGCTCTTAAAACGGGCAGGCAGCAGACGCTCTCTGTTAACACCCTCCCTC